TTTTTTTTTTTTTTTTTAGTTGAAAAACCAATAATCGTTACTCTTGTCGCTAGTTACTAGGTGTTTTTCTGTGGCAAAAATTAGATGCATATTCTTTTGGTTTGAATGGATAAAATATTATTGAAAACATTTGTGTTTGAATCATCTTTGTTAGATCTGGACTCAGTATAATTTTAACAGTTGATGTTTCAAGTATAAATAATAGAATATGGAAACAACAAAATGTTCAGTACTGGATTCATCAGGCAGAAAGGATGATGCTTCACGTTTTATATAAATTTTAATTCTAGAAATAGACCACAAATTACTATTCCTGTTTATGGCTTCACTTTTCTTTTCACTAGTGTTTTAAAGAACATAACATAACAACATATTTCTGATCTGTACGTCTGTCTTGTAGGTGCTGAAGGGGCACGATGATCATGTGATCACATGCTTACAGTTTTGTGGTAACCGAATAGTTAGTGGTTCTGATGACAACACTTTAAAAGTCTGGTCAGCGGTCACAGGCAAAGTAAGTTCATTTCATCATTTTGTATATATTTTTGCAAGGATCAACCAGTGAGAGGAAAACAAGGATTCATTTTTTACTCTAGTTTAGCAAATATTTGGCCTTCTAAATTTAGCCTTTTCCCATAGTTATAAAAGTCACCTTGGCATGAAGGTAACGATGTTTCTCATGATTGAGATGTCATTAATTTTTTTATTTGGTTAGTTGCTCTGTCTTTGTGACTTAATCTACCTTAAGATTTATTGATGTGCTTTATCTTTTCCTTAGCTTAATTTCCCCCAACCTTTATTAACCATCCAGGATATACCTCATTACTTTTAAATCTTTTTCAAAAATATGATTGAGAGATACTTGTTTTTCCTGGTAAACTGCTTTGCTGTTAAACTGTCTACAGCTAAGAAGTTAACATATATCGTGATAATTTAGATTTATCTCAAGCCCTGTAAGTTGAAAGTTAAGCAGATTAGATATTAAATAGGAGTTTGAAGGAAAAAGGCAATCCAAGCAATCAGCTTGACTGCATACAATATTATACTTTAGTTAATTCTCTAGTGAATACTTGTTTTCATCTGTCCAATGCAGAATATTTTCCTGAATTAAGTAATTGACCACCTAAAAAATAATAGAAGCAAACTTGGAAAAAATATATATATGTATTTTTAAAGTCTTTTAGCATGTAGCTTCTTGGGCAAGAGTCTTCCAAATCTTCCAAGTCAGATGTTACAATTTTTAAAGCAGCCTCATATTTCTATGGTGTAATATATTAGTTTTGGATTTATTTCAGGGTTTTAATGTCTGTCTTTACTTGTCTAGAAGTAGCTTGGCTGCTGCCTCCTAACTACTGCCTTGGAGCAGATTCAGATGAAATGTGGTATGTAGCCACACCCAGCACTGTTGGCATTCTTTCACTGAATCTATTCCCATGGAAGAAACCAAGTTGCAATTTTACTATTCTTTCATCAAAGAGGCCAGGCTGGAGCTATCATACTTTAACAAGCTATCATACTTTAACAAGCTGTTGAGCTGTCGTAGTTTAATCTCTGCATACTTAGTGCCTCTGGCGTGTGTGTGTGTGTGTGTGTGTGTCTGTGTGTGTGTGTGTGTCTGTGTGTGTGTGTGTCTGTGTGTGTGTGTGTCTGTGTGTGTGTGTGTGTCTGTGTGTGTGTGTGTCTGTGTGTGTATCTGTGTGTGTGTGTAATGTGTGTGTGTGTGTGTAATGCTGTTGACTAAACAAAGCAATAAGCAGTGATGGGATGATGTTATATTGATGTGCAAATTATTTTCTGATGTGCCAAGCAATCAAATTGAGTAAATAACTTTACTCCACATTTTAATGACCTATTAAAATGCTATTTAAATTGCTTTCCCTTCTACCCAAAAGTAATCACCTTAAGTGTTTTTCCAGTGTCTAAGGACATTAGTGGGACACACAGGTGGAGTATGGTCATCACAGATGAGAGACAACATCATCATTAGTGGATCTACAGATAGGACCCTCAAAGTGTGGAATGCAGAGACTGGAGAATGTATACACACCTTATATGGGCATACTTCTACTGTACGCTGTATGCATCTCCATGAAAAAAGGTGAGGGAAGATTCATCATGTTTGGGAATTCTTCCCCTGTTGCTCTTGAATTTGGGGCCTCGGTTTAGAATTCAGATTGTATAATTTTTACTGTGTCTAATAGATAGTGATGATGTGCTCTTTGATTAGACTTAAATTTCAGATGTTTCTATACTAGGAAAGCGTAGAGTATTGGCTTAAAGTTGGGGGTTTTCATTAAATTTCCTTCCCATTTGATCGTGTTGGCATTTTCTTGCAGCTCTCTATGTCTTAGTCTTGACTGACACTTTCTTTATTGTTCTGCATCTTTGATGACCCATCATCTTTGAACAAAAATTTCCCTTTTTATATAGTCAAATTCCTGTTAATAGAGACAAATTTAGTCATTGTCTTCAAGCCTCTGACTTTTTAATTACCCAACCACCCTACCCCTAGTCCAGCACAAAAGCTTATGGGTTTTAATTTATTCTCTCATTACTTGTCACCTGAACTATTGACGAAGCTTCAACCTTGGTCTTCTCACTTTTTACACAGCTGACAGAGAACCCTCCTATCATTACAGTTGTATCGCTTTCCTGTACTGCAGTCTTTGGGAGCCTTCTGTTGCCTACCAAATTAAGTACAAAATCCCCAGTCCAGTTTTCAAAATGGTTTCAGCCAAACTGGAGTGCTTGCCTTTCTCCTCTCAGTGCCTTTGATGGTGCTTTTATCTCCACCTGTAAAGCCCTCCTATTAAAATCCCTTCTATCTTTCTATTGAAACATCGTCATGATAGCTCTACGCAAATGTGATTTCTGCTTCATTTTAAACCTTCCCCCCACCACCCGCCATTCATCCATGCTCACGCAGCCCTTAAGGGTAGGGTGTGTGTTGTCCATGTTTTAATCCCTCACGATACCTGCTGTGATGATTTGAACCCAGCATGCTTCCAGAAGAGATCTCTGTGGGGTCCTTACAGTGAACCCACTGCAGTCTTTACCTTTAATGCTGTCCATAGCATCTTCTTTATTAAGAACCATTAAGTAGATTTCACAATAGATTGGTAGTATGTGAAGAAAAGTACCTTTTTCGTTTGTAATTTGAATCTACTTTGAACACTGTGTTATACTGTTAAAATTTTGGGGCTAGGTATCAAGAGACCTTGCATTTCACTTTCCGTTATGTTCTGACTTAAATCTCTGAATGCTTCAATTTTCTATTCTTTCAAATGTGGGAACTATGGCCTTTTTTTATCTTTTAGGAATGACAGAAAGACTCCTGAGTTTTCAGTTCTGCTTTGTAATCTAAAGATGATTGCATTATTTGAATCACTCTCGTCTCCCAAAAAGTATAACTTTAATAATATTCAGTCAAATTTTTAAGAGATTTGTGTTGCCCCTGTATGCTTATTTTTTAAAATCTGGATATCTTAATGTCCCTGTAGCCTATTGAATATTTATAAATGTAAGCATTAGAAGCATAAGCAGTCTTTGTTTTGTTTGAAGACACTTCTGAAACTGGTCAGTTTTTCCAGAACATATGTAAAACACATGTCTTTAGCCACTTAAATTCCAAATTCTGATTTGTTTTTTTGGATAACCTTTACTGAATTTTTTTACCTAATCACAAAGGAAGTATGTGTTCATAATTGAAATTGTCAAAAATGACAGAAAGCAAAGAAAAGAACATTTAAATTATTCAAACTGCTGTCCTATTAACATTTTATGTATATGCCCACACTAGCATTTTATATCTAAGATCAAGATCTTACTGTTATATTTAGGGAGTGCTCTCAATACAGTGGTTTTCAAACTCAGTTCCAAAGGACTCCAAAGTGCTGCTGGATCCTTCACTGTCAGGGGAACCAACTTTCCACCCCAACCAGAGTAACTTCACTGGTGTATGTCTATATCACAAAATTTTACATAGGATTTCTTTTGTAAACACGTTTTCCCGCTTAAGGAAAAAAAAGTTTGAAAGTTACTGGTTTTATGCATCATGTTTTCTTGTGTTATTAAAAATTCTAATACATTGTTTTCTGTTTTCCCCCCAACAGAGTCGTTAGTGGTTCCAGAGATGCCACTCTTAGGGTTTGGGATATTGAGACAGGCCAGTGTTTACATGTTTTAATGGGTCATGTAGCAGCGGTCCGCTGTGTTCAATATGATGGCAGGAGGGTTGTTAGTGGAGCATATGATTTTATGGTGAAGGTGTGGGATCCAGAGACTGAGACCTGTCTACACACGTTGCAGGGGCATACTAATCGAGTCTACTCATTACAGGTAAGAGATTGTATCTCTCTCATCTCTTAGGTGCCCTACTGATGAATCATAAGATTGTTTTACTGTCAAATTGCTGACCCAATACGGCCTCAAAAAGATCAATCAGATTATCCTACTGTTTATATGTACTTCAAAGTTTATATGAAGAAAGCATAAATTTTGAAATTATTTAAGTAGTTTAATGTTTTCCATTTTTTCTGATCCGTTTTCCTTCTCAGATGTAAATATTTGTCTTGGAACCTCAAACTTAGGGGCCCTAACCATTAATTAATGGTTAGATATTCTCATAGGAGAATAACCTGGATTTTAATAGTCTTTAGCAGAGGATTAATTTGGCCAAAGCTGCCCATTTGCCTTGATAGCTAAAGGTTGATGGACCATGTAATTGTGATTCCGTTTCCATTCAGACTAGAATTGGAGTCTTTTTGTGTAAAGCTGCTGCTCTACCATCCCAGGGGCATTGGTCTGTACTTACAAAAGTAAATTTGACGGAACTGATTTTTTTTGTTTACATTTGAACCTGACATCCTTGGATAGGTTGCCAAATTTTGAGATAAATAACTAGATTAATAACAAGTTTAGAAATTAGGCCTTGTTTTATTTTCGGAAAAACACCTTTTTCAATTTCAAAATGTTTTCTATTACTTACATAGTTTTACTTAACAGTTACTGCCCATTAACCAAACCAAACCCATTGCCATCAAATGGATTCCAACTCATAGCGACCCTACGTACAGAGTAGAACTGCCCCAGAGGGTTTCCAAGGAGCGACTGGTGGATTCAAACTGCTGACCTTTTGGTTGGCAGCCAAGCTCTTAACTACTGCGCAACCAGGGCTCCATACTGCCCATTAGTGGTCAGCAAATCAGTACATAAACCCAGTGCTGACAACTCTGTTCTTAGCATATTTATTACCTAATTGATGGACTACTGTCATGTCATGAAACTACTGACATATAATTAAGGGGCTTATTAAATTAGAAAAGGTGATGGTTTGGGAGAGGGAATTGCCCACACTGTTTTTTTGTTTTGTGATGTGCTCAGAACCTTAATGAATATAATGTTCTAATTTAAAGAAACCATTAGGTTGAAAAAAGAGATAGAAACATTATTATATATCTTTTGGGAATTGATAGATATTTACTGACCTTTGGTATAGCTGGGAACCTAGAGAATAGGTGTTGTATAGCATGCTTTTGTTATCAAAATGCCACCTCTTCTAATTCTACATATATTAATTATTGGTTGGCATATTTCCTAATTAGCAATAGGATTCTGTAAATGAAACTTTTTACTTTACATAACAGTTTTTAATGGAACTTACCTTTGAACATCATGAAAGGTATATAGCCCTTTTCATGCTTCAGGTGCTGATAAGCACACCCTTTATCACAAACTGTGTCAATAGATTCAACTTCCTGCTTGGAAGTCAGACTCAAATGGCAGTCCTCACTGAATCATCCATGGCTTGTAGCTACCAAGTATGGCCAGATGACTTGAAAATGTTGTTCATTTTAAGTTGTTTTTGCAGCTAGTTTGAAGCCACTGGGTAGGAGAAATTAGCATTTCTGTTAGAAGTTTCTGAGAGCATGCACTGCAGAGTTACTTGATTATATTGTTGCCATTTTGTTCCTGGCATTACCTGTTTCCCATGCACTCCCCATACCCCATTAGGATTAAGGTCAATAATTGATATCAAGAATATCCATACTTCTTGTCTAATAAACTGTGTCTATTGTAGTTTGATGGCATCCATGTGGTGAGTGGCTCTCTTGATACATCAATCCGAGTTTGGGATGTGGAGACAGGGAATTGCATTCACACGTTAACAGGGCATCAGTCATTAACAAGTGGAATGGAACTCAAAGACAATATCCTTGTCTCTGGGAATGCAGATTCTACAGTTAAAATCTGGGATATCAAAACAGGACAGTGTTTACAAACATTGCAAGGTAAGTGTTGACTGCCCACCTTTAGTTACGCTCATTAAAACATGAAATTGTGGCTCAGAAGAGAAACATGGAACTTTAACATCACCAAAAGAGTTAATCTCACATAAAGTACTTATTTCAGATAAGCTTATGAGTATTTCCACTCTGATTTATAGAACTAGACTAACTTAGAGAAAGTGTTTTAAATTTGTTTTTAATATAAAATAGTTGAATCACTTTCTGCATGTACAGTTAACTACCTACCTGTAAAGAACACTCTCAAGAAAGATGTTGACTCTACCACAGAAGCAACTTATTTTTTGAGTAATCATTTTATTTTGAATTTTTATTCCAATTTTAAATTAAAAGGCTATTGTGGAAAAAGAAAAGCATCTCTAATCTCATAGAAAATTGCTTTGAAGTCAACTTAGATCCTTAACCAACTGCTTAACTGGGATGGGAAGGTGTCCATTAAAATAGAGAAAGAAACTCACATGAAAATCACTAGTATTAGATGAGGCACAAACGTGTTAACTAATTCTTATTTCATGATTCACTTCTTTTTGATGGTAATAGCCCTTGGAAGGTGTGTTTCTGTAAGGCCATCTGGTGGGTAGCATTGCAACTTTGTACTCATTAGTTTTGTCTCTTCCTCAGTTTTTTGGAATAATGTCCATTCGACCTTCACCTTTGGCTGGTCAGTTCATAGTGGTAGGAGAATAGACCTCTTATGCCCATTTGTCCATCAGCCAAATACATGAAGCGATAACTATCCACATCATCACAAAGAAAAGCTCTCATTTACACAACTAGAAGATAAAACATGGGACTGGTAGCTAGCCAAGCTTCCTGGAAGAGAGAGCTGTAGAAAGTTAATGTTTCAGTTACAGATAGCTACCAGATTTTCTTACATCCATGCTGATCCTAAAATATTTGGAATAAGGTCTCTAAATACACAGCATTTTAAATATTGCATTTTTGTATGCCCTAATGTAGAAGTCTACAAATTACAATGTCAGTAATGCATAGCCATGATTTCTAACCAGTAATTAAATTCCTTTGGTTTTGCCTAGGTCCCAACAAGCATCAGAGTGCTGTGACTTGTTTACAGTTCAACAAAAATTTTGTAATTACCAGTTCAGATGATGGGACTGTAAAACTATGGGACTTGAAAACGGGTGAATTTATTCGAAACCTAGTCACATTGGAGAGCGGGGGGAGCGGGGGAGTTGTGTGGCGGATCAGAGCCTCGAACACAAAGCTGGTGTGTGCAGTTGGGAGTCGAAACGGGACTGAGGAAACCAAGCTGCTGGTGCTGGACTTTGATGTGGACATGAAGTGAAGAGCAGAAAAGATGAATTTGTCCAAATGTGTAGATGATATACTCCCTGCCCTTCCCCCTGCCTAAAAAAGAAGAAAAAAATGAAAAAAGAAAAAATCCCTTGTTCTCAGTGGTGCAGGATGTTGGCTTGGGGCAACAGATTGAAAAGACCTACAGACTAAGAAGGAAAAGAGGAAGAGATGACAAACCGTAACTGACAAGAGAGGCACTGCTGCCTCATCACATAAAAGGCTTCACTTTTGACTGAGGGCAGCTTTGCAAAATGCGACTTTCTAAATCAAACCAGGTGCAATTATTTCTTTATTTTCTTCTCCAGTGGTCATTGGGCAGTGTTAGTGCTGAGACATCGTGACAGATTCTGCTAGCCTGTTCTCTTACCACTGAGATCTAGAAAGGAGCTGCAATAACATCAAAACAAGTACTGGCTGACTTTCTAATTCGAGAGCATCTGCAACGCAACAAAAAGTCATTTTTCTGAAGTGGAAAAGCTAAAAAAAAAAAAAAAAAAAATTACTGTGAATTGTTTTTGTACAGTTATCATGAAAACCTTTTTTTTCTTTGCCAACCATTGCCAATGTCAATCAATCACAGTATTAGCCTCTGTTAATCTATTTACTGTTGCTTCCACATACACTCTGCAATGCATATGTTGCTCAAAGGTGGCAAGTTGTCCTGGGTTCTGTGAGTCCTGAGGTGGATTTAACTCTTGATGCTGGTGCTAGAAGTAGGTCTTCACATATGGGATTGTTGTCCCACCCCTGTACTGTACTCCCAGTGGCCAAACTTATTTATGCTGCTAAATGAAAGAAAGAAAAAAGCAAATTATTATTTTTTATTTTTTTTCTGCTGTGACGTTTTAGTCCCAGACTGAATTCCAAATTTGCTCTAGTTTGGTTACGGAAAAAAGACTTTTTGCCACTGAAACTTGAACCATCTGTGCCTCTAAGAGGCTGAGAATGGGAGAGTTTCAGATAATAAAGAGTGAAGTTTGCCTGCAAGTAAAGAATTGAGAGTGTGTGCAAAGCTTATTTTCTTTTATCTGGGCAAAAATTAAAACACATTCCTTGGAACAGAGCTTTTACTGCCTGTTCTCTGGAGAAACTTTTCTTTTTGAGGGCTGTGGTGAATGGAATGAACATACATAATTAAACTGACAAAATATTTTTTAAAAATATAAAACAAAATTTAAATAAAGTTGCTGATCAGTCTTAGTGTTCTACAGTATTTGGGAAAACAACTGTTACAGTTTTATTGCTGTGAGTAACTGACAAAGCAGAAACTATTCAGTTTTTGTAGTAAAGGCGTCACATGCAAACAAACGAAATGAATGAAAAAGTCAAATGGTTTGCCTCATTCTCCAAGAGCCACAACTCAAGCTGAACTGTGAAAGTGGTTTAACACTGTATCCTAGGCGATCTTTTTTTTTTCCTCCTCCTGTTTATTTTTTTTTTGTTTGTTTTATTTATAGTCTGATTTAAAACAATCAGATTCAAGTTGATTAATTTTAGTTATGTAACAGCCTGACATGATGGAGGAAAACAACCTTTAAAGGGATTGTGTCTATGGTTTGATTCACTTAGAAATTTTATTTTCTTATAACTTAAGTGCAATAAAATGTGTTTTTTCATGTTAGTATGCCTGTTTCTTCCACTGAGGTAATAATGACACTTCATTATGAACATTTAGTGTTTCTCTCTAATATTCAAAATAGTAAAGTCCTGATTTCTTGTCATTCCCTGTAGTGTGACACAGAAGTCAATACTTGCAAGCTTGTTTCCTGCAGCTGAAGAAAGAATACACTAGGAAGGAAGACATTCCATTGAGTTTATCTCTGTGCATAACACTGGGCGCATAAATATGAAATCTGGTACCCTCAGAGAGTCACAAAACTTTTATCATAGTTACAACTAGAATTCCTATAAAGTTTATTTTAAAATTTGGACCACATATTGAGTGTTTACCTGGCACTTTCTGTGTACTATCTCTGAAGCTCCCACCACCCCTGAGAAGTAGGTACTGCTATCTCCATTTTAAAGATGAGGAGAAAGGCGAGGCTCAGACTGGTTAGGAAAGCTCTCACAAGCCAGGTAACTAGCAGAGAATTAGAATTCAAACCCCTTGGAAACCCTGTGAGATAGTTCTGCCCTGTCCTGTAGGGTCGCTATGAGTCAGAATCGACTCGGTGGCAACGGGTTTGGTTTTTTTGTTTTTTCCAAAGATTAAACACATGCTACCCTTTCAGAGCAAGGACAACAGGTTTTGGAAAAAAAGATACTTTTATGGCACTTTGAGACTCGTCCGTAGCCATTTTGTTCAATAAATCTAATATTTTGTAAGTGAAAAAACAAAGTTCAATTATTGAACTTTTATATTCCTAAATATATTTAATACCACAAGTAGCAGGCCATATGTATCCCATGATCTCAACTATCCAGGCCATAGATGAAAATCTAAAAGTTAACAAGAATGGAGTCTACTTAGAGATACATTCCTCACAACCATAAAGTGTGTGTTCGTTACTCATGGACAGCAGTTTGGGGCCTCACCCCACAAATCTACTAAATCAGAACATCTTAGGGTAGAAACCAAGAATCTGCGTTTTAAACTAGTTCACCAGGTAAGTTATGAACACTCAAGTTTGAGAAGCACTGTCTGAATACCGTTCCAGTAAGCTTGGTCATTTGGATTATTTGACCACAGCAAATTACTGACAGAAGAAAGCAGGGGGAGGTGACAGGGTAAAAGCAGAGATAGAACAGCTACATGGTTAAATGAACACAAGGCAAAAATCCTACTATGCCATGAAGTACAGAGGCGAGCAGCCCTGCCTGCTTCAGAGCAAACCAGGCACAGCCCAGAGCCATTGCTACTGCCCACACCCACAACTCTGATTATCCAGAAAAAGAGATTCTATTTTCAGTAGTCTTGAAACTGCTTGATTATTTTTATAACACCAGATAAATGAGGCTGAACTATAATTGAAAAATGCAGGCTCGAAAACTGAAAGATTAACGTCACCTTTTAAAATAAACTTGCATTATAGAATAAGTTCACAAGCTTGTAGACAGGTAAGCCTGAATTTACATCCTAGTTCTTCTGATACTGAATAGTTACGGGAGTTTGACCTCAGGTTACTTGACCTTTCAAAACCTCAAGTTATCTTATCTTCTAAGATAAAGATAATACCTACCTCCTCCTAAGGTTATTGTAAGGATAGGATTAAATGAAATGTTATGAAGCACATAGCACAATGCCTGGAACTTCGAGCTTAGTAAATGGTAGCTATTGTTAAAATTTTAAGAAAACAGACTCAGGTAATTGGTGTTACCGTGAGTCGGAATTGACTCCACAGCAACTAACAACAATTGTAACTTTCTATGCTTAGAGAACAGATGTGTGACTCATTCAGGTACAGAATAAAAATAGCATTTCTATATACATGCCAATATCCATTTTTTTAAGTGGGGTTACATAGACTTCCCTTTGAGTTGTACAGAAACCTCATGAGATAGACTGGTCTTGAGCACCTAACAATGATTTTGTATATACATAGGAGGTCATTAAATGTTATTTTAGGAATTAATGAATGAATCTATTACAGTGAATCTGATCCCAAAAGGGAGATTAACCTCATTCTAAAGGAATTAAAGTATTGTGGTTGTAGTAAGGACAATCACTAAAGAAACCCTGCTTTGCAGCCTGCTTAGTGAAGAAACTCACCACCTTATTTAACTTAAGTTTTTACATCTTCATACCAGAGTATAGGCAGTCCCCACGTTTAGATGTTAAAACTTAGAAAAGATCAAACGTGGCCTGAATCTAAAGCTAAAATTAGGACACGAAAGTAACCCATATAAGCTTGTAGCAGGTACTTCGTAAATACCTGTTGAATTGAGCAAAGGGAGTTGACTATCTCATTTTATTTTGAAATTGTTTATAATTTTGACACTTTGAAACTCGCTTACTGAGATTAAATTACTGTAGCTGTTTCCTTAATTTGAAACAGCATCTACCAAGTGGATTACTAAAACATTTCAACCTACATTTGTTTAATTTTAAAAAGTAATTGACATTTAATTATTTGTATTAACTGCTTTTAAGCCATTTCTCTACCCCTTTTGAGCTAGTCTCATAAAGTCTTTTTCTTTCTCTGAATTGATCAGAGGCTACAGTGATGAAAGACCTCTGTGCTTTTCCCTGAAGTAAAATGGCGGAATCAAGAGTAAGCGCCAGACACAGGCTTTATGTACACTTTTCCCTGACACCCGTTACACACTGTGAAACAAGCTTCTGGAGAGAGGCCATCCCCTTCCTGCAACTCCTTACCTTCCATATTGAAACCAAAAACAAGCAGCTTTGCCTTTTTTGTATACATGAGTAAATTCACTTTAATTTTTTATTATTATTCTTTCCCTCAGGTAGTACGAAAGTTTTCTTTGAAATCTTTTCCCCTCTGTCAACAGCTCCCCTCAGACACAGCTTTATTCATTGTTCTTCTAGTAGTCATCCCCCGCCCCCAATAAAAGGATTGGAATCTATACTCCATCAGATTCATCAACCAATAGAGGAGCCTACTTTGTTGTCCTCTACAGCAATTCTAGGAGAACCTCCTGTTTTGCAGAGCCATTTATAATTCTTCTCATAGTAAAAGTTTATTGTTGTTGATCGGTAAATTTGAATAAATGTTTCTGACACAGGTTGTTTCTTTTAAACGCCCGCCTGCCTTACTGCAATTTGCAACTAGATTTTTGTTTAGATAGGCGTGTGGGCATATGTATGTATATATCCACATAGAATACGAGAATATATTGGAACTTGGATATAAGCCTCGTATTCTCAGTGAGTCACAATAATATCTCTTAAGCCTTTCTCTTCCTCAGCCATCAAAAAAAGAAAAGTGAAGGTGTTGGTGGCCATGATGTATCAATGGCCTCTTTCTGAGGAAGATGTGCGTGTGTTCAAACAATGTTTCTGGAGTCCTGCATTAAGCAACCATATGATAATTTGAAATGTGGATGCACAATTTTTTTTATTTTGGCGTTTTCCACTGCTCAGGAAATGGAATTTAAGTTAGATTCAAAATGGCTGCACCCAGCTCCCTTGTATTGGGAGAACCTAGTCATTGGTTTAAGGAGCCCTGGTGGCTACACACTTAGTCTTCAGGTCTCCTCAGCTGAAATACAGCCTCCTGACTGCTTCTATGGCTTTATGTCAGCTCCCAGGTTGGCAGGGACTGAGGACCAGGCCATTTTCTGGTACACCCTATGAAACACTACATGTTTCTATATTTGCAAGACAGTGGTGAATCTGTATATTATATAGTGTTTAAGAGCTTGATCTCTGGAACCACACTGTCCAGATTTGAATCCCAACTTCTCTAAGTATTTTTTTTTTCTTGTATGTCCTTGAGCAAGTTACTTGACACCTCTGTGCCTCAGTTTCCTCATCTGTAAAATGGGACTAAATGATAGGACAGTTGAGAAGATTAAATTACTAATAAATGATTTTAAAATGCCTAGAACTGTGCTTGGTACATAACAAGTATTCAGCAGCCACTAGCTATTACACTTTACATGGGTAATTATATTATCCTTTAATGAATTCTTTCTACGTCAGACACTATGCTAAGTGCTTGACATAGACGTAGAGAAAATATAAAAGACTTTGATGATCAAACCAGGAGGTCTGATATCCAAATAACAGGAGCTCCCCCCACCCCCCAAAAAAAAAAAAAAAGAGAACACCGGAGGGAATAAATTATCCAAGAACAAAAAAATGAACAGAATAGAACAGAAAACTTCCAGACTGAAAAGGCCCACTGAATACCTTTAGAATATATGAATGAAAAAGACATCCATATTACAATTCATCATGAAATTTTTGGAATACCTGGGTTAAAAAGAAGCTCCTAAGAACTTCTGGAGAGAAAAATCAGTAAAGAAAAAAAAGATTTTTTTTTTTTTGAGAATCTGAATTTAGGATTTCAAAATGGCAACATTGGAATGCCTGGATGGCACAAACAGTTAAGCACTCGACTACTAGCCAAAAGAATAGCTGTTTGAACTCACCCAGAGACTCCTTGAAAGACAGGCCTGGTGATCTGCTTCCAAAAAAAGGTCACAGCCTTGAAAATCCTATGGAGCAGTTCTACTCTACACACATGGGGTTGCTATGAGTCGGAATCAACAGCAATTAAGGACAACCAAAAAATAAAATCAAATGCTAGAAGACAGGTCTTAAAAGTTCTACAGGCAAATTATTTTCAGTTTAAGATTCTACACCTAGCCAAACTATCAGTCAAGTGAAAGGGAGAATAAAGACATTTGCAGACATAAGAACTATATGTCCTTGGAGCCCTGGTGGCACAGTTGTTAAGCATTTGGCTGCTAACGGAAAGGTTGGCAGTTCGAATCCACCAGCCACTCCTTGGAAACCCTATGGGGCAGTTCTACTCTGTCCTATAGGGTTGCTATGAGTCAGAATCTACTTGATGGCAACTGGTTTTTTTTTTTTTTGGTCTCACAAACCCTTTCTTAAGCTTGTGAACGATGTGATCCAATAAAACCAGGAAGTAAACCAAGAAAGAGGAAAACATGGTATACAGAAATTAGAAATTTCAATACAAAAGAAGG